TCCCCTCTCCTGTTCACAAGCCAGTATGTGGCCTCCTCTTTGCACTTTTCAAAGTAATAGGCTGCTAGGCTATGTCTACCTCCAGTATCCCAAAATAGCTATTCTGAATCTTTTGAGCGCACCCATCATTTCCAAACATAACAGGCTCGTTATTCCGATGTCCCTGTAAAGCTGATTCCATGAGGATTAAGGGATGTTTCGGAATAGCACTCTATTTTGAAATGTTTGAAATAAGCTATTTGAAAATTAACTTAAAATAAGCAATGCAATTTGTGCAGCTCAAATTCGTAGCTTATTTCGAGATAAGGGTGCAGTGTATTCACACCCCTACAGTCCTGGATGGTTCTTCTGTTACCCAACTTGCACCAGCTGCCTGTGCAATAACAGTCTGTTTAAATACAAGTATAAATCTATGCAAGATTGTTGTGGCATTGAAAAATATAAGCAAGGGATTGATTTTTTAAAACAAAATATATTTGCCTTGCTAGCCCTGTTAATTAATCTTTGTCAGCCTTTCATTAGAGCTTGTGTAGGGGAGTGTGAAATATTGTTACCCATAGTCCCTCCCCTCTCCCCAACTGGTGTCATCTATCCCAGTTCCCCCTGAAGTCGGTAGACATTTTACCACTGACTTCAATGAGAGAAGAATTAGGCCTCAAAAACGAGAGTCCTCGAGTATAAATAGTTCTGATCGAATCAATGAGAGTTTTTCCCACGGTCAAAAATATAGGGCAGGCACCTGCATATGCCTTACCGTGCAAAACAGCAAACAAGAAAGGAGAAAACTTTTACTCTGGATACTTGTCAGGCAACTGTTTTCTGAAAGGTTAAAAAAAAAGACTTGTAAAGGGCAGTGGTCATATGCCTCTACAATTACAAAAACAAACATAAACCACGTGTCTCTTGTTTAAAAATAGAGAGCATAAAAGCAAATACTCACATTTATGATCTAAACCCATAAAGATCTTGGTTTTGTACATTGTCATCTTCATAGTTCAAACATCTGTTTATAGGGGAACGTATCCCCGTAATGACATATGTTCGCAAGTTTGGTTAGGGCACGTTGGGTAAATTTGGGGGATTTCTGAATAATGTGAATAATTTGCTTGATTTACATAGACCATTAAAACCAAAGGTTTATTGGTCTGAAGGAAATGTTCAGTAAAAAGCACCCAAGACAACAACAATAAATGAGCAGAGGTTTCTAATGCCAAAGATGTTTGCACATTTATTGAGCGTATATTGGTAATTCCGAGCTGGTTGGCGTGTTTTTGCTTCAACATTGGTCTCAACAGAATATTTGCCTTTAGTTTCAAAGGGAAGGCAACTGACACGTCTAGAGACCCACATGACTTAAATAGTACACAATAAACTGAAATTACCTTTAAAAGTCTAAGGCTAGTCAGTAGAAAAGGGACATTATTTTTAAGGGCTAAATTCTCTTGACACTTCTAATTTGCCCTTAATGTGATGACATAATTAATAGCCCGATTTTTGCTGTTGCTCTTTTTGATTGTTTTCATATCTGCAATGATTCAATCCTAAGTCTTGGAGGGGGGGAGAGTGATCTGGTGGAAAGAATCAGGCACATATTACATAATCTTGCAATGTACACTGAAAGGTAACAAAACAAGTACCCCAGGTATTGATTTATTCGCTGGTATTTAGCATTTCCAGTTGAGAGATATATATTTATAGTTAGTATCAAGGGGATATAATAATAGCATGCTCCTTTGAACGCGGTTGCGAGTATTTCTATGGCAGCTCCTTCTACCTAGGGTGATGGTAAATGCAGATGCAGACAGACGAACTAGGGGGAACAGCTGGAGGCTGGCACTTGCCCAGTGTAAGAAGGAAAGTATTGCTATAAATTGGGAGTCTTTATAGCTGTTCGGCTGGAGGAAGTTTTTGGCTGTAAACTGTCATGCACTGCAGCTTTCGGTGAAAAGGCTGTGAAAGTGGAGAGTTTTCTCTCCTGAGAACCAAAGTGCAATTAAGATCAGAAAGGAGAAGCAGGGCAGAGGGGGAAAAATAATAATAAAGAAGATGGCACAAATAGCTGCCCGGGGAGGGGGAATCTTATTTTCCCTTGCCCTCCCGAAATATACACCGCTCTCCCACAGTTCGCACTTATTTGGCGTTGCTGTTTAAATAAACAAACCTGCAGGCATTCTTTTCCAATTGTTTAAAGTTAAACCCGGAAGATTTAATTTAAAAACTGCCCTTTAAATCTTGGAGCAATGCTTAGTTCTTTGGAGCGAACTGGGGAAGCCACTTACTAAAGCAAATGTTAGGCAAGTGAAATAAACGCCGTCTTCCTTCTGAACGGTAAATTAGATGAGAAAATAACATCTCGTGATACGACACGCAAAATGGGATAATGTGCTAAGCATTTGTGTTGCCCTCATGCTGGAGCTTTCCTTAAACGTCTTGTTCCTCTTTCAAATTAAGGAATTAGCTTGCTTCGAAATATTTTAATTCTGGATCGTAAATAACAATGTTTTGGATACATTTCGAACCATCTTCAATATACAACCAAATCAAACCCAGTGTCCCTTTCATACCTAAATCCACTAACACAGACCTGTCGCCTTCGATTGACCTGCCGGGGAATTAGAACGAACTTCGTCCTACCCCGGATCCCCTAGAATAAAAAAGCATTTCAGAACACTTTAAAAACCAGAATCTGACGAAAATAAGAGAGAAGTTTTGGTTTGCTTTTAAAGATACAAACTGAGTTGCTAAGCACTATGGGCTGTCCAAGGTCTTATTTTCGATTAAGTTTGAGAAATGTTGAGATGCAGGATTTTGCACTGTTATAATAAGATGTTAGAACTCCCACAATAACCCAGATTGCCACAGATAAAATGGACAGCTCCGCGTAGCATTGCTGAGGTTGAATGTTCATGCCTTTTAAAAATAAAGTGTTTTTTTAATAAAACACCGTAAGTTAAATCAGTGCGTCACAGTTCGGCTGGTGGAAAGGATCTATAAGAGGAAATATTCAAGGCGGTGACTGTCTCGTCTCTCCTTGCTCGATCTTTGAAAACCTACTTGAAGAGAAAGATCACTCCCCAACAAAAGTGGACGAGATGCGCTCAATAAGCAAAGCGTATCGATTAAATTAAAACAAAAATCTTGTGCAAATACTAACCCAAAGTGGGAAAACATCTGCTGCCGAAAAGTAACAGAGAATGTTTGAACTAGCGATAAACACAATAATTAAAAAGCAACACGGTCGAACAAAGTACCATTCATTCGATTACCTCATGTAGCTATTTAAAATACAAATTTGATTTCTATACTTAAGATAAAAAAGAAAACGGGCACAGCAACATATGATGTATTTGAAACTTGACTAAAGTAGCAGGGTTTTTTTGAAATCCAGATGTGAGTATAATGTAAAAAAAAAAAGGCATGTTTATAGAAAATGAGCGTAAGTCCGTCTCCCTGAGTGCCTGTCTGTCTCTATACTAAACAGTGGCTATAACTTGTTCTTCCAAAGAGATTGCCATTGACAAAGAAACTTTTCTTAAAAGCAAACTTTAAAAAAATCTCATGAAATCGGTTCAGATAAAAGTAATACCCGGTATTTTGAATGTGGGAATTTGTATGATTTTTTTTTGGAGAAATCCTTATTTTTACACTGCACTGCCTCTCCTCCCCTTCTTTTGCTCCTGTTTAAAGCGATTGTTATTGTTTAAAGAGACCCCATTGAACTATTTCCTGCTCATTGTCACCTCTCTCCCCCTCTCCCTCTATCCAGAGATTCTCACAGAAAGGTAATAAACTGTTCCCTCACACCATAGATCGCAGCACCTCCTGAGAATTCAAACTACTCCAAAGCATTAGTATGTATCCAAATATTCATTCTCTCACTCGCTCTGTGTTTAGGTCTTGGCCTGGGAATGAAACTCTGAGAATTTGAATGTTTCTCAGTTAAAACACTTAAAGGACCTTCTTTTCTCCCAAACCAAACATAGAATGTCTTCCTTGTTATAAAAGGGAGGATTTAAGCCTCAACGGATGTTTGTAAATATTTCCAAATTAAATGTTGGCATACTTACATGATTGTAATCGGTAGTCATTTTCATATGCGTGTTTGGTATAAAGAATAGTGGTAAGAGACTGAGTTACAGTTCGGCTAAAAACGGTCTGAGGTACTCAGTAAAGTCTTTAGTCTGTGAAAAGGCAGCAGTTTCATGGGATAATCAGACTGAATGCTTGCAGAAAAGTGCTTTCTGGTCAGTAATTTTTTGATTATTTTTTGAAATTTCTTCTCAACTTACACTTCCCCTAAAGCCGTTCACATAGACAGGGAATGCCACAATCTGTGACCCTGTGAATGTGAGAGTTGTTTTTAGATGGTGAGGCTTTAAATATCTCACAGAAATACATTGCAAATACCTCCAAGCTCTTGATATCATCTACATGTTTTATTAGTTCCTAAAGTGCAGTAAGACTATTCGGGTTTTTTAAAAAAGTTGTTTTCAGTTACAGACTGATATGGATACCCCTCTGAGACTTTTCAACGGGGGGCTGGGGGGCTGTAAATACAACCTAAATAATAAGTCGCGCTAGGGGTGTCTCCTTTCTAGGATTGGCTGGTGTCTAAAATAAAACCTTTAGGCTTTGCTGCTCTGTGTTGCGAGCGGCATGTCAATGTACCTATAAAGACTGCTGCTGAGAAGGCAGGAGGATGCTGCACACAGGTTATGGGGCTGTTGCTGAGATGGGCCATTTCCTCCTAGGCTGCTGCATCCCCAGCCCCGGCGGCTTTGATAGAGGTGCAAACATTTGGGGGCAGATTTACATAAAATAGCCGTGTTTAATCCCACTGGCCGCAATTAACATCACAGGCTTCCCCGGGCACTGTTCTGATATGGCCGCAGGGAGCCAATCCGCTGGGGCAGCCGGACACATCAAAGGGGCTCTCCTCCAATCAGGGGACCCCCCCCACAGGCATTGTGATGTCACCAGGGGATATTTATTGGGGGGGTATAATTGGTTCCCCCTTGGCCAGTTCCAGTCGTGCTGACCAAAGAGGTCAAGTGGATTAACCCTTCTGCCACCACCTTGCAACCAGCCTGGATCCTTCCCATTGTAAGCAGCCAGGGGCCCCCTCCCAGGAGCTTCGGGGTCCCCCTCTCCCGCGGTGCGGAGTCGCCTCCGATACGTTCTTCCAGGGGCTGGAGCCAGAGCTGAGGCTGGAGGTGGCTCCCGGGCAGTAAGTGGCGTGTGGGGGGGCGGGGGGCGGGGAGGAGGCGAGAGGATGAGTTCTCCCGGCACGGAGAGCTCCGGCAAGAGCTTGCAGTACCGGGTGGACCATCTCCTGAGCGCGGTGGAAAACGAGCTGCAGGCTGGCAGCGAGAAGGGAGACCCCACGGAGCGGGAGCTGCGAGTCACCCTGGAGGAGAATGAGCTGTGGCTGCGCTTCAAGGAGCTCACCAACGAGATGATCGTGACCAAGAATGGCAGGGGGGG